CAAATTTTAGAAAAAGGGGACGTGTTTCCTGTTGTGAGGTTTCATCTTGCAGTAAGTGGGTTTACCGGGTGTTAGTGGAGTGTTGTGGGTGGCATCCTGGGGACAGATTAACCAAAGTTGCCAGAAATGTCTGCATAACCAGGAACTTTCTGTATAGTATGCCCACTGACTTCAACTAGGTCTGTAATAGTTGTAATATGTACTTGTAGAAATAGATTATTGTTACTTTTAATTATTTAGGAGAGAGGGAGAATATTTCCCAGTAAAAATAGGTCTTACACAATGGTGTGTGGGTCACCATAGTTGTTCAGTATATTTAGAAAAAGGGGTTATAAGAGAAGTGAATACTCGGGGTTGGTAAGAGGTGTGGGGGTTAAAAGATAAAGAATCTAAGACAATAAGGGGAGTTGTCACTCTTGCCTTTTGCTAATGACACTGTGCTTTTGGGAGATTCTGAAGAGAAGTTGCAGAGGTTGGTGGATGAATTTTGGGAGGGTATGTAAAAGAAAAAAATAAAAAATGAACTAGGAAACAGCAAGGTAATGAGGATATAAATTAAGGAAATGAAAGATTGGAGGGAGGAAGTAAGGAGAAGGGGAATGTGTTCAGATATTGGGGAGTGGATTGTCAGAAGATGGGTCTATAAAAGATGAGGTGAGCTATTGAACTGATGAGGGAAAAAGAAGGAAAATGGTGCACTGAAGAGTCTGTGGAGACAAAGAACATTATCCATGTAAGCAAAGAGGGAAATGTATGAGAGTATAGTTACATGGACAGTCATATATGGGTGTGAAGTATGGGTGGTGAATGTTCCAACAAGGAGAAGGCAGGAGGCAGTGGAATGTGTCTGAGAGCAGTGTATGGTGTGAATGTCATGCAGAGAGTCTGTAGCTTGGAGATTAGAAAGTGCAGGGTTTCTAAAAGTATTATCCAGAGGGTGAGGAGGGGGTTTTTGAGAAGTTTTCGAACATTTAGAGGGGTGGAAGAAAATAGATTGACCCTTTGGGGGGGCACATAATCTGTAATAGAAGGAATGTAGGGTGGGAGTCATACCAGGAAAGGTTGGAAAATGGGTAAATGAGGTTTTGTGTGTGAGGGGCTTAGACTTCTGCAAGTATGCGTGAGCGTGATAGGAACGAATGGAGGCAAATGATTTTTATGACTTAACGTGCTGTTAGTGTAGAAGGTAACTTTTAATAAAGGGTTTCGGGGAAAACCCAGTTACAGGATTTAAGTCTTGGAGGGGGAATACAGTGCTGCACTATGGGGAAGGGTGGGATATTTTGCAGTTTTTAAACTGTATTTTAAATAGATGCTTTTTGGAAGACAGTAAAGGGTTTTGGGGGTGATGAAAGTGTTTTTTTCTTTTTTGGCCCCCTCCCTTTGGGTGGGAAATAAATCAGTGTGAAAAAAAATTTAATAACCTCTCACCTTTTTTTAAGCATATAGTTTGCAATATGGCTTTTGTGCTAGATATCTTTCTTTGTGTTGCAAGAAGTTTTTGGTTTCATGATGTGAGTCGGCACTGGCACTGTGGCAGGTCTTCTTCCCTTTTCCTAAGTTTAAAAAATTAATGGTGTAAATTTTTCTTTTTGGAGAGAAAATAAACAAAACCAAATATCCATATTTTTTAAATTTAATAGAGAAGGGTTTTTTGGGTTTTTAAATGAAATTTTTTAAAAAATTTATATTGAGATTTGTGTTCCTTTCAGCTTAATTTTCCGCACGGGTCTTCCCTGAACCGAACACCAATCCTTCTCATGCCACAATTAATTCCTCAACGAAAAGTATCCTACGGGGCTTTTGAGATCCCCCAGCCCTTTATCCCCCCTGGCTAACCTGAAGTTGGGGCCCTCAGCCCGGTTATCAGGGAACGCATTCCAGAGATCTAAACCCTCTTCTGCTTGTGTCTTTCACAAAATGTAATGCACTAGGTAACAACCACAGGGGGCTACCTAAAAGCACATAAATTAGTGCTAAAATGGATTATTTTTCAGTCTTTAATATTTTCCCTTTATACACAGACAGCTGTACCTTTTGGGGAAATTTTAAAAATCTTTATAAAAAATTTAAATTATTATTATTATTATAATTAAAAAGAAGCGCTAAGCTACAAGGGGCTATACAGCGCTGCAATATAAATTAATAAGATGATGTCAATGCATACAAGAAATACAGAAATCTTTGTTAGGTTAATGATTTCTTGGGGAAAATTTGGGCTTTTATTTGTAGTAATTTATTTTTTCAATAATAGAAAGATAGTATTAAAAGCAGACCCCAGGTATATACATGGGAACAGCAGTGTATATACCATCAATGGGAAACAGAAGAGCTGTGTATAAAACATTCACTGCAAACAGCAGTGTATAGGCAGTGAACAGGTAGTATGCACCCTTAATCATCTTGTACTGTAGATAAGAGTTAAACCTGACATCCAACAAACTTTTCTGACTCAATAGATGAAAGAATGATTTAGTTTTTAAATCATTTATGGTTTGAAGAATGAGACACTTGTGCAACTTTTTGGGAATCTTTATTGAGGAAATGTTTTGCAAGTCATTGGCTTCTTTAGTCCAATACAGGAGGATAGAGGAGGAGTGTGACTGGATTACACCCTCGTGTGGGTGTACGCCCACTTAATATATGTACCTATAACTCATTTAAATTGTGACCGAGTGTGGAGGTGCAGTGGCTCATTACTAAATGATTGAAACCATGAAAAGGAGTGTAGATGGTTCATTACCTTTGTAATTTCCATGATGTGAGCAGATCTACCTGGAGTTCATTCCCTTTGTAACTAGTTCAGCTATCATAACTTTGGGGTTCAGTCCCTGGACTCGTTATGTACCTCTGTAACCTGATAGGTATGGTGTGACTACCACCCACGGGATGGGTATGGTGTGACTACCACCCACAGGATGGTATGGTGTGACTACCACCCACAGGATGGGTATGGTGGGACTACCACCCACAGGATGGGTATGGTGTGACTACCACCCACAGGATGGGTATGGGGTGACTACCACCCATAGGATGGGTAGGGTTTGTGACTACCACCCACGGATGGGTATGGGGTGAACTACCACCCATGGGATGGGTATGGTGTGACTACCACCCCAGGATGGGTATGGGGTGACTACACTCACAGGATGGGTATGGTGGGGGACTACTGCCCACAGGAGGGGTATGGTGTGACTACCATCACAGGATGGGTATGTGTGACTACCACCCACAGGATGGGTATGGTGAAACCCTACTGCCCACGGGAGGGTATGGTGTGACTACTGCCCACAGGATGAGTATGGTGTGACTACCACCCACAGGATGGGTATTGTGTGACTACCACCCACAGGATGGGTGTGGTGTGACTACCACCCACAGAATAGGTATGATGTGACTACCACCCACAGGATGGGTATGGTGTGGCTACCACCCACAGGATGGGTATGGGGTGACTACCACCCACAGGATGGGTATGGGGTGACTACCACCCACAGGATGGGTATAGTGTGGCTACCACCCACAGGATGGGTATGGTGTGACTACCACCCACAGGATGGGTATGGGGTACATAATAAAGATATTAAACTAACTAACTTGCCTCAAACTATTCCTCATCTTCCTCTGTTATTCTCTATATTGGACTGAAGAAGTCACTGGCTGGTGAAACATTTCCTCGTAAAGATTCCAAAAATGTCGCACAAGTGTCTCATTCTTCAACTTTTTTGTTTTCTAAACAATTTTCATTATATTTACGATTTGCCATCAAAATATTTGCATGATGGATCAATAAATTTTAATTTTTCACAAAAATGTAAATGGCTTCATTTTAACGCAATTATTTTGACAAGTTAAGAGGTTATCCCACCTCGGCTCTGAGTAAGATGTGCTAACACTCAGGTACCCACCACCTTACCTCAGCTCTGAGTAAGATGTGCTAACACTCAGGTACCCACCACCTTACCTCGGCTCTGAGTAAGATGTGCTAACACTCAGGTACCCACCACCTTACCTCAGCTCTGAGTAAGATGTGCTAACACACAGGTACCCACCACCTTACCTCAGCTCTGAGTAAGATGTACTAACACACAGGTACCCACCACCTTACCTCAGCTCTGAGTAAGATGTGCTAACACTCAGGTACCCACCACCTTACCTCGGCTCTGAGTAAGATGTGCTAACACTCAGGTACCCACCACCTTACCTCAGCTCTGAGTAAGATGTACTAACACTCAGGTACCCACCACCTTACCTCAGCTTGGTAAGATGTGCTAACACTCAGGTACCCACCACCTTACCTCGGCTCTGAGTAAGATGTGCTAACACTCAGGTACCCACCACCTTATCTCGGCTCTGAGTAAGATGTGCTAACACTCAGGTACCCACCACCTTACCTCAGCTCTGAGTAAGATGTGCTAACACTCAGGTACCCACCACCTTACCTCAGCTCTGAGTAAGATGTGCTAACACTCAGGTACCCACCACCTTACCTCAGCTCTGAGTAAGATGTGCTAACACTCAGGTACCCACCACCTTACCTCAGCTCTGAGTAAGATTCTAACCACTCAGTACCCACCACCTTACCTCGCTCTGAGTAAAATGTGCTAACACTCAGGTACCCACCACCTTACCTCAGCTCTGAGTAAGATGTGCTAAAAACTCAGGGTACCCACCACCTTACCTCAGCTCTGAGTAAGATGTCTAACACTCAGGTACCCCCCACCTTACCTCAGCCTGAGTAAGATGTCTAACACTCAGGTACCCACCACCTTACTCAGCTCTGAGTAAGATGTGCTAACACTCAGGTACCCCCCCCTTACCTCACTCTGAGTAAGATGTTGCTTAACACTCCGGTAAACCCACCACCTTACCTCACTCTGAGTAAGATGTGTAACACTTTAGGTACCCACCAACCCTTTCCTACCTGGGGGTAAGATGTTGCTAACACCAGGTACCCACCACCTTACCTCGCTTTGAGTAAGAATGTACTAACACTCAGGTACCCCGCCACCTTACCTCAGCTCTGAAAATAAGATGTGCTAACACTCAGGTACCCACCACCTTACCTCAGCTCTGAGTAAGATGGGCTAACACTCAGGAACCCACCACATTACTCAGCTCTGAGTAAGATGTCTAACACTCAGGTACCCACCACCTTACCTCAGCTCTGAGTAAGAATGTGCTAACACTCAGGGACCCACCACCTAAACCTCAGCTCTGAGTAAGATGTGCTAACACTCATACCCACCCACCCCCTCAAACTCTGAGTAAGATGTGCTAACACTCAGGTACCCACCACCTTACCTCAGCTCTGAGTTAAGTTTTGCTAACACTCAAAGGGACCCACCACCTTACCTCAGCTCTGAGTAAGATGGGCTAACACCTCAGGTACCCACCACCTTACCTCAGCTCTGAGTAAGATGTCTAACACTCAGGTACCCACCACCTTACCTCAGCTCTGAGTAAGATGTGCTAACACTCAGGTTTCCCACCCCCTTACCTCAGCTCTGATTTTAAAATGTCTAACACTCGGTACCCACCACCTTACCTCAGCTCTGAGTAAGATGTGCTAAACCGCAGGTACCCACCACCTTACCGAGCTCTGAGTAGAGTGCTACCCCTCAGGTACCCCACCACCTTACCTCGGGTCTGAGTAAATGTGCTAACACTCAGGTACCCACCACCTTACCCTCAGCTTCTGGTTGTGCTACCCAGGTCAACCATCAGCCTGGTGGGTTTCCTCGCCTCACTCACTCTGAGTGTTGTAAAACTCATGTACCCACCACCTTACTGCTCTTTTCCCTCATACCCACCCTTCTCACTACCTGTTGTTCCTTCCCACCCCCTACCTGGCTTGTTTCCTCCCCCACCTACGCTTTTCTCCTCCCTCACTAGCCTTTTTTTTCCTCCCTCCCCACCGCTTTCCTTTCCCTCACACCTGCTTGTTCCCCCCTTACTTACCTGCTTGTTCTCCCCCACTACCTGCTTGTTCCCCCCTCACACCCGCTTTTCCTCCCCTCACTACCTGCTTGTTCCTCCCTCTCCACCTGCTTGTTCCTCCCTCACTACCTGCTTGTTCCTCCCTCACTACCTGCTTGTTCCTCCCTCACTACCTGCTTTTTCCTCCCTCACTACCTGCTTTTCCCTCCCTCACTACCTGCTTGTTCCTCCCTCACCACCTGCTTGTTCCTCCCTCACTACCTGCTTGTTCCCTCCCTCACCCACCTGCTTTTCCCCCCACTACCTGCTTTTTCCTCCCTCACACCTGCTTGGTTCCTCCCTCACTACCTGCTTGTTCCTCCCTCACTACCTGCTTGTTCCTCCCTCACTACCTGCTTTTTCCTCCCTCACTACCTGCTTGTTCCTCCCTCATCACCTGCCTGTTCCTCCCTCACCACCTGCTTTCCTCCCCACCCACCTGCTTGTTCTCCCTCACTACTTTTTTCCCCCACACCTCTTTCCTTCCCCCACACCTGCTTTTTCTCCCTCCTACCTGTTTTTCCTCCCCACCCTCTTTCCCCCCCCACTAGCTTTTCCCCCCCTCCCCTCTTTCCTCCCCCTCTGGTTTTCCCCCCCCTTCTTTTCCTCCCCTTCCCTTTTCCCCCCCTTTAAAAAACCCTTTTTCCCTCCTCAACCCCTTTGTTCCCCCCCCTCTTTTCCCCCCTAACCCGCTTTTCCCCCCCACCCTTTTTTCCCCCATACTGCTTTTTCCCTTAAAAGTTTTTCCTTAAATTTTTTTTTTTTTTTTACACCTCTTTTCCCCCCCCCCCCAAAAACCATTTTTTTCGGTTTTTTTCCCTCACAGCTTTTC